TGTGCTAACATTTAGTAAATTGGGTAGCGATCCAGTATTTCATTCACACTTAAAGTATGTATTTGTTTGTAGCCTTTATGTAAATTAATTATTTCAGATTATATATACTTTGAACACCCATTTTAACATATAGATCTGTGTTCTGCAAAACTAGTAAATTAATTATAGATACTTTTAAATAAGACATGTGGTTTTTGTGCACTTGTAAATGTAGTTAGCATTGCTTTAAATGCCTTTCCAATCACAAGATGAGACCATATTTGAAATTTTTAGCACATTATAAGATCAGTCCATTAAACAAAGATTAAAGACTTGAAGTTTGCTTTGCTGAAGTCTAAAAAAACCCAGAACTTCATATTCTCTGGGGCATTGAAAATGTTTGGTCAGGTGCCCTCATAAAGCATTTTTGTGGTCACTAGATTATTTCTGTTTTGGCCTTAGATTTGACAGTGATAAATTTTTGAATCTTCTTGTCTCAGTGCTTGAGCCTTTTGGAACGACTATGCCTTGGAAGTCAGCTTTCCTCTCTAGCAAACAGAGGAACAAAGAGAGAATATTTATATAGTGTCTTCCCCCACTCCCAGTCTTCCAAGGAATTAATTCTATACTCTGGGAAAACCTATTTAAGGCTGCAGCTACATGAAGCAGTGTCCTCAGTGTTGATCCTTGTAGCTGGGCCAGCTAGCCACATCAAACGTTTCCCTGCGCCTTAAAACTACCCATATTTTAGATGTTGATTTCTGTTTAATGGTAGACCTGGCTACAATCCATGCTTATTTAATGCATAACTTTCTTCCTGTCCCAACATACCTTGGCTCACTCAAAATAAGAGTGCTCTGTGAGGAATTAAAATAAGAGATTACCCTGCAGAAATCTATGTGTGAAAAGAATTTGCATGACTAATTTTAAACTTTCACATGTGATGGTATTTAGCATCTGACTGTGAATAGGTGAGAGAGGTAGCAAAAATCTGAAAACATTCTATTTCCAAAATCTTAATTGTAAGAGGCTATGGAGGAGGAGAAGAAAGTGCAAAAGCAAGCTTACTGTTGAACATAAACAAAAATAATGACCACAGAGTAATCTGCACATATTCAACCTAGACAATGAAAAAATAGAAATAGTAAAATAATTCTCATACCTGGAATCAAACATTGATAGAAATGGGGACTGCAGTCAGGAAATCAGAAGAAGATTAAGAATGGGGAGGGTGGCTATGAAAGAACTGGAAAACATCCTAAAATGCAAAGATATATAACTAATCACAAAAACTAGAATCATACAAGCCATTGTATTCCCTATTACCATGTATGGATGTGAGAGCTGGATAGTTAAGAAACAAGATAGGAAGAAAATCATTGCATTTGAGATAATGTGATGCTGGAGAAGAGTGTTGAGGATCCCATAGACAGCAAAAAGGACAAACAAATGGGTCCTAGAGTAGATCAAGCCAGAAATCTCTCTGGAAGCCAAGATGACAAAACTGAGGCTGTCGTATTTTGGACACATCATGAGAAGGAATGACTCACTGGACAAAACAATAAAGCTAGGAAAGGTAGAGGGAAGTAGAAAAAGAGATGGATGGACTCTATTACGGAGGTTACAAGTATGAATGTGCAGGAAACAGAGTTAAGGATGATAGGGGGTCTTGGAGATGTCTCATCCACAGGGTCACCTTGGACTGAGATTCACTTGAGGGCAGTTAACAACAACAAATGAAGGAATATACAATATATAAGATATGTCTACTTAGCATTAATTATAAAAGGTCACCTGTGTTCTCAGGATCTGAACTCATCTATGAGTGCTCTAAGAAACCACTATGGCTTCTCTCTAGTAGCTTGAGTGCACACATAATGATTTATGGTATCACTATGGATTTATGGACTGCTCCATCCATTCTGTTACTGGAGACAATTCTGTTTATAGTAATCCTGCGTCTGTGCCTTTGAATCATTTACTGACATCATCTCCTATCTTCCCTGAGTCATGATTGTGTGCCCACGAGTGTCATAGACCCTGAACAGGGGCACCATTTGAGATTTCATTAAAAGGGAAGGTAAATGTGACCTTGAACAAGTCATACTCTCTTAACCTGAAATGAAGTCAGTGACAAACCTCTTCGGAGCAAATCTTGCCAAAACTGCCCCCCCCCCGCAATGTTAGGGTTCTCATAGGTTAGACTCAACTTGAAGGCAAACAACAAAAACAAAAGCAACAGCAATAACAGGGATCTGTATTGGGAATAAATTTTCAGCAAGATTATAATCTCCATTTTTGGGTTATATTCAAAGTTCACTTTAAAAAAGCATTCTTAACCATGTCAGATGCTCTTTGTTGTTATCTGCCATCAGGGTGACTTCGACTTCGATGAAACCTACGGATGAGAGACTTCTAAGTTACCCTATCAGCAATAGCCTTTCTTCAGTCTCGCAGACTCAGGGTTGTGGCTTCCTTAGTTGAGTCTATCCATCTGTAATGCAATCTTCCTCTTTTCCTTCTGCCAGTGATGTCTCTAGGGGGTGGGGGGTGCGGACCACACTAGGTGACACTAAGGGGTGTGTGTGACACCATTACTCCTCAAACCTACCTTTTGGCAGAAATGGGCTGTGGCTTTCACCTCCTTCCCTTTAAAATGCTTTAAGTGATGGTGGGAGTGGATTGAATCTCAATGGGAGAAGAAAGGAGAGGCCCCAGGATTTTTTAAAATTAAAATTTCAAATTTAAAAATTTTACTTTTTTTTAAAAAAAATTAAATTTGTAAAATTTGTAAAAAATATTTTAAAATTTTCTTTAAAAACATCACATTTTAACTTACTCTTCACTATGTACATACAAATACATTTAGATAGTGCATGTGATATTGTAATTTGAAGGTATAATTTTAATTTTGCTAGTTGTCACATTAAGTGGTATACGGGAAGTATGATGTACAAATAACATTAGTGCAAAAAAGCATTACTAAGGATTCTGTATGGTGTGAAATGGGATGGGGGCAATGTGGGAGGTGACACCATGAGTTAACGTACTGGGTGACACCAACCCTAGTGATGCCACTGCCTGCTGCCTTCCTCTTTACCAAGCATTATTACCTTTTATAGTGGGTCACGTCTTCTCATGATATTGTCACAGTACGACAGTCTCTGTTTAGTTTGGCTTTTAGGGATGTGTTCAGGCTTAATTTGCTCTAGTATCCCCCCACCCTTTTGGGGTCTTTTTAGTAGTTCATAGTATCAACACAACTCTTCTCCAATACCCCATCTCAAATGAGTTGATTTTCTTCCTATCCTCTTTCTTCACTGTCCAACTTTCAAAACTGTACATAGAATTGAAAATATTATGGCATGGGCCATTATAACTTTAGTATTCAGTGTTATATCTTTACATGTCAGGATCTTGCTTAATTCCTTCATAGCTACCCTTCCAAGTTCTAGCCGTCTTGTTCCAGTCTTCTGCAGTGCCCATTCTGATTAATGACTGAGACCACAGTGTGGAAAATTTCCAACTGGAAACTATTCCGTTTCTCCATATTCTGATTGTAGCCTCTTGTCCTGAGTATAGGTTATGTATCAAGGCAATCAAATTGTGTGCCACACCTCTTTCTTTAAGAGCCATCCTTAGTTTTTCATGATCTATACAACCAAAGGTTTGCTATAATCTATAAAGCTCAGGCTGATTTTATTTTTAAAGTTTTTGGTGCACTCCATTGTCCGATGTACATTACAATATGATCCCTACTGCCTCTTCCTTTCCTGAACCCAGCTTGGACATCTGGCATTTCTTATTCTATACATAAGGGGTAGGCAACCTTTTTGAGCCGGGGGCTGGGTTGCTGTCCCTCAGTCAATTGGGGGGGCCGAAGCACCATAAATAAGTAAATATATAAAAATTTAAATAATTTTAAAAAAATATGCATGCACACTCTCTCAGCCCCAGAAAAGCCATAGCAAAACCCCTGTGGAGATTTTGCCAAGAAAACCCCAAGAACAAGTAATAACAACAATAATCAATATCATCATGGCAGGCGGTGGCAGGGGGTGGCAGGGGCACCTACCTCTGCTATATATGGTAGAAGTCTTTGTTGTAGAACTTTGATAATCACTTTGCTTTGATGGGAGATTAATGCAACAGTCCAGTGGCTAATGCAATCCCTGGTGTCCTCTTTCTTGGGGACTGGAATGTATATTGAGTGTTTCCAATGTGTGGGCCAGTCTTTTATTTTCCATATTTGTTGACAGATTTTGATAGATTCTGAGTGCAAAGAGATCTTGTAACACCTTTGAGACTAACTGAAAGAAAGAAGCTGGCAGCATGAGCTTTTGTAGACTTCAGTCCACTTCCTCAGATGCATGGGGTGGACTGGAGGCTCCAGGGAGAGACATAAGCAGGCTGTGTGTGAAAATGCAAAACTTTGTAGGTATGGAGATGAAATGACAAGTTCACTTTACAGAGATAATGGTTTCCTGGCACACTACACACATTATAACACTAGCTAACCCGCCAGCCTCATGGGGTCTCTTTTGGCCAGTTTATCAAGTCTCCTATCTGGTTCCCACACTACATTCAATACTCATTCACATGGCTTGGTTTTAGGCAATATCCTTCTTCCTGCCTTGGTTCCCCTATGACCATTGTTAAAACTGAACTTGTCACCTCATCTCCATACCCACAAAGTTTTGCAGTCTCTCACACAACCTGCTTGTATAAGTCTGTCCCAGGACCCTCCCCGTGGGACAGACTTCCACCCCATGATTCTGAGGAAGTAGACTAAAGTCTACAAAAGCTTATGCTGCCAGCTTCTTTACAAGATCCCTTTACACTCTGATTACCCAAACTAACACAGCTATGTCTTTGAATTCTAGAATATATTCTGTCTCTGTTGCTTGAAGCAGCTCTATTGGTTATGCCATCTGTAATTTATGCACTTTTTAAAATTGTAGGTGTATCTTCAAATGGTTCTTCCTTGAATGAAGTTATCATCCTTTCATGTCTCTTACCCCCACAGTCAAGTGGGGAATCAAACGTGATCTCCAGAGTTATAGTCTAGTGTTCAAACCACTACACCATGATGGCTCAGGAAAGGAAGTGGCACTAGGGTCCACTATGTCTAGCTTTCCCTAATTCATGCTTTTCTCATTAAATGTTCCTCTAATATGTGTTGTGCAGCTTTGAACTATCCTTTGACCTTGGAGCATGCCAACAACTGAATGTCCTTTCAGCTTGGATCAAGTTGCATCATTAGCCACAATGCTTGTAATTGTCCTCTGCTTCACCTCAGTAGCTTGTGGAGTGCAACCTGACCTGGGAATTTCATTGTTTGGCACTATCTCATGTTTCATTTTGGATTGTCTCATCATAGGAGTTTTATGGTAAAATACAGGCCTCCTTTTGCTTGTACTAAAAAGCATTAGCTATGGTGCCACTGCTGCTGCTCAGTAGTTGCTTGGCACATTTAATCTGGCTCCTCAGCAAAAGCCTGTATGACATGTGAGACCGTACCAGCAGCATAGCCTCTTGCCTCACAGGAGCACACAATCCCACCACCATGGAAAGGTAGTGTGATCGGTGGGCATTAGTGTTTTAAATATCTAAGTAATATTTACATGTAAAAAGTGTTCTGTGCAATCATGCTGGCCACATGATCACAGAGTAGTCTCTGACAACACTGGCTCTTCGGTTTAGTAACGGAGATGAGCATCACCCTTATGGTCAGACGTGACTTGACAACCTTGTCAGTGGGGAATACCTTTACCTTTACCTAAAATTTACATGGACAGCTAAAATGTGGAACAGAAGAATATATTTTTGCCTTAATCAAAAGCTGACACTGGCTTTGATTTACCTGAAGTAGATTTAAGTGGGAGATCCCTGTTAACCTCTACAGGAATGGGATATGGTAGAAAGGCAGATAAGAGAAGGAAATACCAGACCATTCCACTGATGGTCACTGTCTGTTGCAGGTCAGTTTTCTAGCTACTTGCCAAGTATCACATAGTTTATTCAGAACAGAAGACACATAGAATGTCTAGATTTCTTAATCAATATTCTTTCTTAAACTTGCCTTATATATACATAGCTAGCTCTTTCATGCAACTCTAATTTTCTGGTGTGTCTGTGGGACACAATATAGAAAAGAATTTTGAACTTTCCATGGCTATATGGTACCTGGGAGATTTTGTTGGTCAGGTTTCCTAAGCTGATCCGTTTCTTCATTGACAACATGTTCCAATCTCATGAAAATTTTGTTTCCCAGTTTCTTCATTTTGCCTGCTATGTTGTGTCCTATGAAGAGATGAGGAGGCTGAGATTGATGAGCTGGAACATGTTCAGAGGACAGCAACCAACATGGTTTTTACCAAGATGGTCTGAAAACAAAGCTCTAAGGGAATGGTTTAGGGAGCTGGGAACATTTATCTGGGGGAAGAGAAGATTGAGAGGTAACATGATAGGGATCTTTATCAGAAAGAAAATCATGTATAAGATGGAACAAGCTTGTTTCTGCTGTTCCAGAGACTAAGAGGCTTATCACATAGCTAAAATAAAGCATTTTACCAATCAAATTTAATTTTAAACCGGGCTGCATCCGGACCTTAATCAAAAAGATTTTGCTCCCGAAATCACCACCCGAATGCAGCCTGGGTCCATCCCTGCTCCCAAGTGCCTCTTTTTGAAACTGGGAGTTTTCCAGCTTGAAAAATGGCCACCGGAGCACTCCTGGAAGCGGGGATGGACCCAGGCTGCATTCGGACGGTGATTTCGGGGGCAAAATGTTTGTTATAGGGTCTGGATGCAGCCCAATTTAAAATTAAATTTGGTTCAAGTAAAACGCTTTATTAGCCAAGTGATAAAGTCCTAAGACAAGAACCAGATGATTCAAACTGGCAGGAAAACCTACCTAAACATTAGGATCAATTCCCTAACAGTAAGAGATGTATGGCAGTGGAATGGATTGCCTTGGAAGATGGTAGATTCTTTAAACAGAGGGCCTATGGCTATATCACAAGTGCTTTAGCTGTATGTTCCTGCATGACAGTGGATTGGACTTGTTGGCCCTCACTGTCGATTTCAGCACTATGATTCTATGAAATTATACATAATTTCAAATGCAGATTCACCAAAAATCTATTAAAAAGACTCAAATTCTAGCCATTTTGTTTTAAAATCATTTCCTAATGATCTTAAAAAGGAAATGTTCATTTTACATGGTCTTTGTATGCTGACTTGGTTTTTTTTTTTTTTATTGTGATTCCATCATAACTCCAAACTCTCCCATCTATCAACAGTTAAAAGTTACAATCCAGGGGCATATGGATTGTAACATAGTGATTTCCTTACTTTCACTGAATGTCCCTTCCCAGTTCATTGTCCAGTCTAAATAATTCATTGTCACGTAAATTCTTGCCTACCAGGGCTTTAGCACTCCAACACATTTTCAAATAAGTTAAACAGCAGAAATTCCAGTATAGTTACTACTGTACTATAGATACTACTTTGTTGTTGTTAACTGCCCTCAAGTCAATCTTGACTCATGGTGACCCTATGGATGAGACATCTCCAAGACCCTCTGTCCTTCACTGCTCTGCTTAATTCCTGCAACTCCTTAATACCCAAAGTGACCTCCTTAATAGAGTCCATCCATCTGGCATGTGGCCTTCCTCTCTTCCTACTTCCCTCCACCTTTCCCAGCATTATTGTCTTTTCCAATGAGTCCTCCCTTCTCATGATGTGTCCGAATTATGACAACCTCAGTTTGGTCATCTTGGCTTCCAAGGAGATTTCTGGCTTGATCTG